TTTAAAAATTTGTTAATCTTCAGGGAGACACGATACTTATGCTAGATTTTCATAAGAAAGTAATAAAGATAAGACTTTTGAAATGGCATTTTCGCATTTTTTTAGCAAGAACATCGTACAACTATATAAAAACTAATACCTGAATGAAGGCTGGAAGCTAACGAAAGACAATCTTACTGAGAGTAAATAGATAAGTGTGAGCATTCATTCAAGTTGATATCTACATGTAACTGAATGTAAAATAGTCCAGTAGGATATAAAACACCGACTACAGCTTTCCACTCAAATAAACCACAGCACAGGGGTTAAAGTGATGTAATTTTAACAATGAAACTCATTTCGTGTCTCTTCCATCTGTATTGTTTCACACAGTCTCAATTATCCAGAAACACTAATCCCTTCATTTGATTAATCCAATCCGACGTATTTGTTTAACCACTCAGAATTAGACAACGAGGAACACAAGAAAACATACTGGCAGTGGTGCTATATGTGACTGGTCAAGCGTTGAGATCCAAACAAATACTCTAATTAGACAGCTACTGATCATTGTCTGTCGGTCACAAACGAGACAGCTCAAGACGATCATCTCAGACTTTGACACCAGTGAGAGCATGATACTTCCCTAATTAGAAGATAAGTCTTCTGATTGGTCGTGAATATCTTTATATTAAAATGTCCACAATGTACTAACAGCAAACGTGTTGCAGATTTGGAACGATAAACAAGCTTAAACATGAAGGGAGGAAACAAAAATATGAAGAACCTGGATGAGAAATTTGTGTTCTGTGCAGTCATGGGAGATAGTATGGTAGGAAAGACCAGCATCTCCGAGACCTATTCTAAGGGATTCTTTAATGAGAATTCTGAAACCACAGTATTTGACAACTATGTCGTTCCACTGCAAGTCGCTGGAGAGGAGTTTGTCATCAGTATGTTCGACACTGCAGGAAAGGTATGTTTACTCAGATGGTCGCTTAAATTCCGCATTAACAATGAGAACAGAACCAGTTACTATGTAAAAGGAATATTGGATTAAATATTTCACATTCTGAATTTACAGGAATGGTTCCTATCAATATATTTCAAGGCATCTATGTTTTTCTTCTTTCAATATGTACACATTGTACTGATCGTCCCTTCTAATTGTTTTCAGAAACGTTTTGAGAGTCTGAGAATGTTCTCCTACCAGGAATGTGAAGTCCTGCTTCTGTGTTTCTCCACCTGTGACCGGAAGACATTTCACACTGTCAGTGACCTGTGGATGCCAGAACTGAAGAGACACTCCAAACAAACCAAACAGAAGAGACCGATCATCCTTGTTGGCACCAAGATAGACCTCCGGGTCGGCAATCAAGACAGCGAGGTCAGCACGGACGATGGTGTCCAACTGGCCAAGGACATTGGTGCTGACTGTTATGTGGAGTGCTCGGCCCGCGACCAGAAGGGTTTGAAGGAGGTATTTCAGCATGTTGTCTTCTCCGCTCTCAAATTCAGGAAAAAGAAAACCAACATTTTCAAGAAGATGTTCAGACGCAGAAGTGCCTCTTTTGCCAATTATTAAATTCAACACACTGTTATTTGATGAAAGAAAGAAATACACTGCAAGTTATCTGAATGGGTGTATGAATGCTGGTGCTACGCCAATGAAACTGAATGTAACGTCGTTGGTTGATCTGCAAAGAGGTTTATCCCTGATTGTACACTTGGGTTGGATTGAGATAATGTCACCCAATTGAGCAAAGCAGGTGGAGACGAAAAAATTGGTGATGTGCTACTTTATTTCTACATGATATTATAACAAGGTCTTTAAGAAATGGAAGACTGATTAGTGCTATTTACAACCTTGTCTTATGTCTGTTACTATGACAATATGAATTTCATATATTCTACTGTTTATTGTTATCTGTATATGCCTTCAATAAACTATCCATGCTATATATATTTGTTAGTGTCTTGTCTATATATCTCTTAAATGGATACCTTTTTGGACACATTCAGCTCACAAGAAACACTAGAAACCTTTTCCTAAAATCATACGAAGCATCAGATCAAAAAACAGGATCCGTTGCACAAGATGTCAACAACATGTATTTATTAAACACTATGAAATAGTGTTGATGCCAGGTATTCACGAAAAGATCAGTATATTTTGCTCTCACCAGTACCAAACACAAAAAGTCGACTTTTTACCTCGAGAAACTCTCACATCAAGCAGCTTGTGAGAAATGGCATTATGGTGGGTCGTATTTCTGGCAATCATGATAGAAAGAACTTGCTAGAATGTTCCTCAAAGTCGTGAAATGAGGACAACAACGGCTGAAGCTCTTGGAATGTTACACCCCAAAAAGGAAAGTTGCCAGCTGAACTTATCTCTCTTGTAGGATGGACCTGTCTACAGTTCTTGTCACACTTACTCCTTTTGCTCAGATTTAAATATGAATTCTCACTGGTAACTACATTTGCAAGCTGAGGTAGATAAATCAGTGTCAATAGGAATTGACAGTTTGACAATTATTGAAATCAAATCACATTATCGATATATACGCATGAAGCTTAAGTTAAACTTCTTGTCCAAATTTCCATGCGAAACAACGTACAAGTATTTGGTTTCTGACAAGAATATGTTGTATTACGATTGAACAGCGAAACATGAATGTTTCAAGTGACTGCTTTACGAATATGAAAATGTATGTACACACATTATTGACTTGTTTGTACAATAAAAGTGAGTGTGAAGAGACTAAATTTACCTGTTATGTACTTCGACTGTAAAATAGATACCCATCTGGTCTCTTTTAATCCGGAATTGGAAAGGTGTTGCTATTGTTTCAATGACAAAGTTTACACTGATCTTGATATTCACACCGTATACACTTTGATTACTGCTATACGAGAAACAGCTTTACTGACATTTATTAACGTAGCCAAAAATGAATAATACAAGTTCCTTCACGTGCGGCGACATGTCTTGATATCTTAACTACTTTCTGCCTTTCGAAACGTCCCAGTTAAATGTTTCCTTCCAACTCAGAAATTAATGGAGTTTAATTCCTACTCTGAAATTAACAGTAAATTAACAATACTGTGACAACGTTTGCCTGGATTGATTGTGTGACTCCTTGTATACGTGTCGAACACCGAATTTGGGGAAACACGTATCTGTATTCATGCTTGTAATCTGAGTGTACAGTAATGAGGGTGACTGTCTGGAGGTGTTATTTCAGCACTTATACATAAGCTGCCACTCATCTTGTGGATTTTCCGGATCACTGGCGACATATCACACATGGCTGAAACGGATATACATGTTGTTTATCCAAACGATCCGATAAGAAAACATTGTTATATTGATACTGCATTGCTAATCCTTTTATTTGTGTTTATAATCTTAGAACAGACAAGTACCACCACCTCCAGTAAGAGAAGTTGTTTGTTCCACAATAATGTCTGATTTATTACTTCACTGATGACCCGTGAAGATCCGGGTTAGAATTGATCTTCAGTAACCCATGCTTGTCATAGGAGGCGACTAACGGGATCGAGTGGTCCTAATCGTTGACTTGGTCGACACATGTCGTTGTATCCCAATTGCGTAGATCAATGCTCATGCTGGTAATCACTTGATTGTCTGGTGCAGACTCGATTATTTACAGACCGCCGCCATATAGCTGGAATATTGCTGAGTGCGACGCAAAACTAAACCCACTCACTCACTTCATTGACAGTTTCTGAGTTAAAAACTACAAGGTGTAACCCAATGCTTAGAAAGCCCAGTTTGATGGCGTCAACATCAAAGAACCAACATTTCACTTGGATGTTCATATGACATCTAGCCAAATACCCCATAAGCATCCAAATGCACACATTGCATTGTCTCATTTTTAAAAGCATTTCTCGTCTTCCTGTTTTACCAACTTCCAAAAGTCAAGCAATGACTTCAATAAACATGTCACATCTACCTACACATAATGATAATGTTCTTTTACATCACAAAAACCAACTCAAAACCCTCAAAGTAACCATGGTTTTGTTGGAAAAGATCTGTTCGTCTGTGTTCCATCCATCGCCGCCTTATCTTTATATTCAAGGAAAACAACCACATTCATTTGTATGAATCCAATCAGTCGTGTTTGCTTAGCCCCTCTGAAGCAGACAGATACAGAAATTAGGCGTATATTTCACAGAATTCCTCTAATTTGAAAGATACATGTACTAATAATTAGTAAACGCATCTGCATATATTGAACCAGACACTGGAAATATATGCTGTTAAGACTGGGACAAAAGCATAAACTGGGAAAACAAGCAAAGATCTCCCAAACAAATATATGTTTGGGAAAGAAAAAACTGGAAAAAAACTCACCCCTGACTATGTAATATTTCCTGAAATACTTTAGTGCTGTGGTAAACAATACAACAAACAGGTGATGATAACATCTGACAGGTAACATCAGACATTCATAAAACACTGTACATCAAATCAAAAACAAACACATGAGGCAGTCAAATTGCAAAACTTAATCATGTATGAGGGAGCAAAATTGCTAACACTTTCCATTCAAATAAACTGTTGGAGTTGAATTTGCAGTGATGTTATTTTAATACTGAAACTCATTTCGTGTCTCTTCCATCTGTATTGTTTCACACAGTTACCAATTATCCAGAGAGACTAATCCCTACATTTGATTAATCCAATCCGACGTGTTTGCTTAACCACTCAGAATTATACAACGAAGTAACACAAGAAAACATATTGGCAGTTGTGTTAGACTGGCCATGCGTTCAGAGAAACAAATACTCTAATTAGACAGCTACTGATCATTGTCTGTCGATCACAAACGAGACAGCTCAAGACGGTCATCTCAGACTTTGACACTGATACTTCCCTAATTAGAGGTTAAGTCTTCTGATTGGTCGTGAATATCTTTATATTAAAATCTTCACAAGGTACTTACAGCAAACGTGTTGTAGATTTAGATCGATAAACAAGCTGAAACATGAAGGAAGGAAACAAAAATATGAAGAACCTGGATGAGAAATTTGTGTTCTGTGCAGTCATGGGAGATAGTATGGTAGGAAAGACCAGCATCTCCGAGACCTATTCTAAGGGATTCTTTAATGAGAATTCTGAAACCACAGTATTTGACAAATATGTCGTTCCACTGCAAGTCGCTGGAGAGGAGTTTATCATCAGTATGTTCGACACTGCAGGAAAGGTATGTTTACCGAGATGTTCACTTAAATTTGCGTTAACATTGAGAACAGATAGAGAACATTGAGAAGAGACACTCCAAACAAACCAAACAGAAGAGACCGGTCATCCTCGTTGGCACCAAGATAGACCTCCGGGTCGGCAATCAAGACAGCGAGGTTAGCACTGACGAGGGTGTCCAACTGGCCAAGGACATTGGTGCTGACTGTTATGTGGAGTGCTCGGCCCGCGACCAGAAGGGTTTGAAGGAGGTATTTCAGCATGTTGTCTTCTCCGCTCTCAAATTCAGGAAAAAGAAAACCAACATTTTCAAGAAGATGTTCAGACGCAGAAGTGCCTCTTTTGCCAATTATTAAATTCAACACACTGTTATTTGATGAAAGAAAGAAATACACTGCAAGTTATTTGAATGGGTGTATGAATGTTGGTGCTACGCCAATGAAACTGAATGTAACGTCGTTGGTTGATCTTCAAAAAGGTTTATCCCTGATTGCACACTTAGGTTGGATTGAGAAAATGGATGTCACCCAATTGAGCAAAGCAAGAGCAGACGAAAGACATTGGTGATGTGCTACTTTATTTATACGTGATATTATAACAAGGTCTTTAAGAAATGGAAGACTGATTAGTGCTCTTTACAACCATGTCCTATGTCTGTTACTAATGACAATATGAATTTCATATATTCTACTGTTTATTGTTATCTGTATATGCCTTCAATAAACTATCCATGTTATATATATTTGTTAGTGTCTTGTCTATATATCTCCTTAAATGGATACCTGTTTGGAAACGTTCAGCTCACAAGAAACACTATAAACCTTTTCCTAAAATCATACTAAGCATCAGATAGAATATGTCAACAACATGTATTTATTAAACACTATGAAATAGTGTTGATACCAAGTATTCACGAAAAGATCAGCGTATTTAGCTCTCACTAGTCCCAAACACAAACAAGTCGACTTTTTACCCCGAGATACTCTCAGATCAAGCAGCTTGTGAGAAATAGCATTATGATAGGTCGTCTTTCTTGCAATCATGATAGAAAGAACATGCCGGAATGTTCCTCAAAGTCGTAAACTGAGGACAACAACGGCTGAAGCTCTTGGAATGTTACACACACACACACACACACACAAAGTTGACAATTGAAGTCATCCCTTTGTCATAAGGTCTCTTTCACAGTTCTTGTCACACTTAATCTTTATGCTCAGATGTAGATATGAATTACATGAGGTGGTTTCACTGGTCTCTACTTTTACAAACTCATTTAGGTAAATCGGCGGAGAGGAACTGGTTTAACAACTATTGAAATCATATAAGATTATCGCTACACATGAAGCTGACGTTACACTTCTCGTCCAAATCGCCATGCGAGAGCAACGCATTTGGTTTCTGCAAGAATATGCTGCATAAGGACTGAAGAGTAGAACAAGACTATCCCACGTGACGAATTGATGAATATGAAAATGTATGTGTACAAATTATAGACATTTGTTTGTATAATAAAAGTGAATGTGAAGGATTTAGATTCGTGTCCAAATAACATGTTACTAGTATCTATTTGGGCTATAGCATATACACACATGTGATCTTTTTTATTCCGGAATTGGAAAGGTTGTGGTATGTTTTTAATGACAAAGCTTACAGTGATCTCGATATTCACTCCATACATACATGCACTTTGATTAATCCTATACGATAAGCAGCTTTACTGACGTTTATTTACGTAGCTCAAAATTTATAATACGAGCTCCTTCGCGTGTGGTGACACCTCTTTATATCTTAGCCATTTTCTGCCTAGCTCAGAAAACGTATATCTGTATTCATGCTATAACCTGAGTGTACAGTAATGAGCGTGCCTGTCTGGAGGTGTTATTTCAGCACTTATACATAGGATGTCATTGATTTTCTGTTTTTTCTGGATCACTGACGACATGTCACAAATGGCCAACGATCAGAAAAGAAACAATATCATATTGATGCAGTATTGCTGATCATTGTATTCTTGAAAAGATACGTACCACCACCTCCAGCCAGAGACGTTGTTCACTCCACAAACATATCCGATTTATTACTTCATTGAGGTTTTCTGAGTTAAATACTACAAGGTGTAACCCAATGCTTAGAAAGCCTAGTTTGAACATGTCCACATCAAAGAACCAGCATTCCCCTCGATGTCCATATGACGTCTTGCTGAACACTTCAGAAGCATCCAAATGCACATATTAATTTGCACGTTCATTGTCGCATTTTCAAAAGCATTTCACGTCTACTTGTGTTGCCAAAAATCAAAAGACAAGCAATGAACACGTCACGTCTACCTACACATAAAAACGGTGCTGATAATGTTCTTTTACATCGCAAGAAAAACAGCTGATGAACTTCTAAGGAACCGAGGTTATTGGACAGGATCTGTTTGTCTGGCTTCCGTCCACCGCCACCTTATCCCTTTATTCAAGGAAAACAACCCATTCATTTGTGTGTATCCAATCAGGTGTGTTTGCTCAGCAACTCTGAACCAGACAAGTACATGATCTTCAACCTTATATTAGACGTTTGTTTTCACAAGACTTACTCTAATTAGACAGATGCTAATACTTAGCAAACACATATGACTGTTGGACCAGACATTAGGGATAGATGCTGTAAAGACATAGACAAATACATGAAAGAGAAAAACAACAACAACATCCTATTCAAAAATTCTCCTCCGAGATAATGTAACGTTTCCGAAAATAGTGTTTGGCATTCAATTCGATAACTTGCAAACAACTTGATAACATCTGAGGTCATATCATGACCAATGAAGGTATGAGTGTAAAGGACACCTTGCATATTGGCAGGAACTGGCATTGTGCATACATGCACATATTTTACCCAAAAAAATCACCTGAACACTTTTTAAAAATCGTTCACCTTCAGGGAGATAATATATAATTTATTACAATTTTCTTAGTCGTTTTTTTCAAAACATCGTACATCTATACTAAAAATAATACAGGAATCATTGCTAGAGGCTGACGAAAGAAATTTGTGCAGAGCGAAAATCGGTAAGTGTGAGCATTCATTCAAGTTGATATCTACATGTAACTGTCTGTGAAATAGTCTAGTAGGATAAAAAAACAACGACTCCGCTTTCCACTCAAATAAACCACAGCACAGGGGTTAAAGTGATGTAATTTTAACAATGAAACTCATTTCGTGTCTCTTCCATCTGTATTGTTTCACCCAGTCTCAATTATCCAGAAACACTAATCCCTACATTTGATTTATCCAATCCGACCTATTTGCTTAACCACTCAAGATTAGACAACGAGGAACACAAGAAAACATACTGGCAGTGGTGCTATATGTGACTGGTCAAGCGTTGAGATCCAAACAAATACTCTAATTAGACCACTACTGATCATTGTCTGTCGGTCACAAACGAGACAGCTCAGGACGGTCATCTCAGACTTTGACACCAGTGAGAGCATGTGATACTTCCCTAATTAGAGGTTAGTCTTCTGATTGGTCGGGAATATCTTTATATTAAAATGTCCACAATGTACTAACAGCAAACGTGTTGTAGATTTGGAACGATAAACAAGCTTAAACATGGAAGGAGATAACAAAAATATGAAGAACCTGGATGAGAAATTTGTGTTCTGTGCAGTCATGGGAGATAGTATGGTAGGAAAGACCAGCATCTCCGAGACCTATTCTAAGGGATTCTTTAATGAGAATTCTGAAACCACGGTGTTTGACAACTATGTCGTTCCACTGCAAGTCGCTGGAGAGGAGTTTGTCATCAGTATGTTCGACACTGCAGGAAAGGTATGTTTACTCAGATGGTCGCTTAAATTTCGAGTTAACAATGAGAACAGAACCAGTTACTATGTAAAAGGAATATTGGATTAAATATTTCACATTCTGAATTTACAGGAATGGTTCCTATCAATATATTTCAAGGCATCTACGTTTTTCTTCTTTCAATATGTACACATTGTACTGATCGTCCCTTCTAATTGTTTTCAGAAACGTTTTTAAAGTCTGAGAATGTTCTCCTACCAGGAATGTGAAGTCCTGCTTCTGTGTTTCTCCACCTGTGACCGGAAGACATTTCACACTGTCAGTGACCTGTGGATGCCAGAACTGAAGAGACACTCCAAACAAACCAAACAGAAGAGACCGATCATCCTTGTTGGCACCAAGATAGACCTCCGGGTCGGCAATCAAGACAGCGAGGTCAGCACGGACGAGGGTGTCCAAATGGCCAAGGACATTGGTGCTGACTGTTATGTGGAGTGCTCGGCCCGCGACCACAAGGGTTTGAAGGAGGTATTTCAGCATGTTGTCTTCTCCGCTCTCAAATTCAGGAAAAAGAAAACCAACATTTTCAAGAAGATGTTCAGACGCAGAAGTGCCTCTTTTGCCAATTATTAAATTCAACACACTGTTATTTGATGAAAGAAAGAAATACACTGCAAGTTATCTGAATGGGTGTATGAATGATGGTGCTACGCCAATCAAACTGAATGTAACATCGTTGGTTGATCTTTAAAAAGGTTTATCCCTGATTGCACACTTAGGTTGGATTGAGAAAATGGATGTCACCCAATTGAGCAAAGCAGGTGCAGACGAAAGACATTGATGATGTGCTACTTTATTTCTACATGATATTATAACAAGGTCTTTAAGAAATGGAAGACTGATTAGTGCTATTTACAACCATGTCCTATGTCTGTTACTATGACAATATGAATTTCATATATTCTACTGTTTATTGTTATCTGTATATGCCTTCAATAAACTATCCATGCTATATATATTTGTTAGTGTCTTGTCTATATATCTCTTAAATGGATACCTTTTGGACACGTTCAGCACAAGAAACACTATAAACCTTTTCCTAAAATCATACGAAGCATCAGATAAAAAAACAGGATCCGTTGTACAATATGTCAACAACATGTATTTATTAAACACTATGAAATAGTGTTGATGCCAGGTATTCACGAAAAGATCAGTATATTTTGCTCTGACCAGTACCAAACACAAAAAGTCGACTTTTTACCTCGAGAAACTCTCAGATCAAGCAGCTAGTGAGAAATGGCATTATGATGGGTCGTATTTCTGGCAATCATGATAGAAAGAACTTGCTCGAATGTTCCTCAAAGTCGTGAAATGAGGACAACAACGACTGAAGCTTTTGGAATGTTACACACAAAAACGAAAGTTGACATCTGAACTTATCTCTCTTGTAGGATGGACCTGTCTACAGTTCTTGTCACACCTACTTGTTTTGCTCAGATTTAAATATGAATTCTCATTGGTCACTACATTTTCAAGCTGAGGTAGATAAATCAGTGTCAATAGGAATTGACAGTTTGACAATTATTGAAATCAAATCACATTATCGATATATACGCATGAAGCTTAAGTTAAACTTCTTGTCCAAATTTCCATGCGAAACAACGTACAAGTATTTGGTTTCTGACAAGAATATGTTGTATTAGGATTGAACAGCGAAACATGAATGTTTCAAGTGACTGCTTTACGAATATGAAAATGTATGTACACACATATTGACTTGTTTGTACAATAAAAGTGAGTGTGAAGAGACTAAATTTACCTGTTATGTACTTCGACTGTAAAATAGATACCCATGTGGTCTCTTTTAATCCGGAATTGGAAAGGTGTTGCTATTGTTTCAATGACAAAGTTTACACTGATCTTGATATTCACACCGTATACACTTTGATTAATGCTATACGAGAAACAGCTTTACTGACATTTATTAACGTAGCCAAAAATGAATAATACAAGTTCCTTCACGTGCGGCGACATGTCTTGATATCTTAACTACTTTCTGCCTTTCGAAACGTCCCAGTTAAATGTTTCCTTCCAACTCAGAAATTAATGGAGTTTAATTCCTACTCTGAAATTAACAGTAAATTAACAATACTGTGACAACGTTTGCCTGGATTGATTGTGTGACTCCTTGTATACGTGTCGAACACCGAATTTGGGGAAACACGTATCTGTATTCATGCTGTAATCTGAGTGTACAGTAATGAGGGTGCCTGTCTGGAGGTGTTATTTCAGCACTGATACATAAGCTGCCAGTCATCTTGTGGATTTTCCGGATCACTGGCGACATATCACACATGGCTGAAACGGATATACATGTTGTTTATCCAAACGATCCGATAAGAAACATTGTTATATTGATACTGCATTGCTAATCCTTTTATTTGTGTTTATAATCTTAGAACAGACAAGTACCACCACCTCCAGTAAGAGAAGTTGTTTGTCATTGATGACCCGTGAAGATCCGGGTTAGAATTGATCTTCAGTAACCCATGCTTGTCATAGGAGGCGACTAACGGGATCGAGTGGTCCTAATCGTTGACTTGGTCGACACATGTCGTTGTATCCCAATTGCGTAGATCAATGCTCATGCTGGTGATCACTGGATTGTCTGGTGCAGACTCGATTATTTACAGACCGCCGCCATATAGCTGGAATATTGCTGAGTGCGACGCAAAACTAAACCCACTCACTCACTTCATTGACAGTTTCTGAGTTAAAAAACTACAAGGTGTAACCCAATGCTTAGAAAGCCCAGTTTGATGGCGTCAACATCAAAGAACCAACATTTCACTTGGATGTTCATATGACATCTAGCCAAATACCCCATAAGCATCCAAATGCACACATTGCATTGTCTCATTTTTAAAAGCATTTCTCGTCTTCCTGTTTTACCAACTTCCAAAAGTCAAGCAATGACTTCAATAAACATGTCACATCTACCTACACATAATGATAATGTTCTTTTACATCACAAAAACCAACTCAAAACCCTCAAAGTAACCATGGTTTTGTTGGAAAAGATCTGTTCGTCTGTGTTCCATCCATCGCCGCCTTATCTTTATATTCAAGGAAAACAACCACATTCATTTGTATGAATCCAATCAGTCGTGTTTGCTTAGCCCCCTCTGAAGCAGACAGATACAGAAATTAGGCGTATATTTCACAGAATTCCTCTAATTTGAAAGATACATGTACTTATAATTAGTAAACGCATCTGCATATATTGAACCAGACACTGGAAATATATGCTGTTAAGACTGGGACAAAAGCATAAATTAAACGAAAAACAAGCAAAGATCTCCCAAGCAAATATGTGTTTGGGAAAGAAAAAACTGGAAAAAAACTCACCCCTGACTATGTAATATTTCCTGAAATACTTTAGTGCTGTGGTAAACAATACAACAAACAGGTGATGGTAACATCTGACAGGTAACGTCAGACATTCATAAAACACCGTACATCAAATCAAAAACAAACACATGAGGCAGTCAAATTGCAAAACTTAATAATGTATGAGGGAGCAAAATTGCTAACACTTTCCATTCAAAAAAACTGTTGGAGTTGAATTTGCAGTGATGTTATTTTAATACTGAAACTCATTTCGTGTCTCTTCCATCTGTATTATCACACAGTTACCAATTATCCAGAGAGACTAATCCCTACATTTGATTAATCCAATCCGACGTATGTTTGCTTAACCACTCAGAATTATACAACGAAGTAACACAAGAAAACATATTGGCAGTAGTGTTATGTGTGACTGGTCAAGCGTTCAGAGAAACAAATACTCTAATTAGACAGCTACTGATCATTGTCTGTCGATCACAAACGAGACAGCTCAAGACGGTCATCTCAGACTTTGACACTGATACTTCCCTAATTAGAGGTTAAGTCTTCTGATTGGTCGGGAATATCTTTATATTAAAATCTTCACAAGGTACTTACAGCAAACGTGTTGTAGATTTAGATCGATAAACAAGCTTAAACATGAAGGAAGGAAACAAAAATATGAAGAACCTGGATGAGAAATTTGTGTTCTGTGCAGTCATGGGAGATAGTATGGTAGGAAAGACCAGCATCTCCGAGACCTATTCTAAGGATTCTTAATGGATTCTTTTTGAATGAGAATTCGCTGGAAACCACAGTATTTCGACAAATATGTCGTTCCACTTTGCAAGTCGCCATTTACTATGTAAAGGAATATAGGATTAAATATTTCTATGTAAAAGGAATATAGGATTAAATATTTCACATTCTGAATTTACAGGAATGGTTCCTATCAATATATTTCAAGACATCTATGATTTTGTTTTTCAATATGTACACATTGTACTGACCGTCCCTTCTAATTGTTTTCAGAAACGTTTTGAGAGTCTGAGAATGTTCTCCTACCAGGAATGTGAAGTCCTGCTTCTGTGTTTCTCCACCTGTGACCGGAAGACATTTCACACTGTCAGTGACCTGTGGATGCTGTGAACTGAAGAGACACTCCAAACAAACCAAACAGAAGAGACCGATCATCCTTGTTGGCACCAAGATAGACCTCCGAGTAGGGAATGAAGACAGCGTGGTCAGCTCTGACGAGGGTGTCCAACTGGCCAAGGACATTGGTGCTGACTGTTATGTGGAGTGCTCGGCCCGCGACCACAAGGGTTTGAAGGAGGTCTTTCAGCATGTTGTCTTCTCGCTCTCAAATTCAGGAAAAAGAAAACCAACATTTTCAAGAAGATGTTCAGACGCAGAAGTGCCTCTTTTGCCAATTATTAAATTCAACACACTGTTTTTTGATGAAAGAAGGAAATACACTGCAAGTTATCTGAATGGGTGTATGAATGATGGTGCTACGCCAATGAAACTGAATGTAACATCGTTGGTTGATCTTCAAAAAGGTTTATCCCTGATTGCACACTTAGGGTGGATTGAGAAAATGGATGTCACCCAATTGAGCAAAGCAAGAGCAGACGAAAGACATTGGTGATGTGCTACTTTATTTATACGTGATATTATAACAAGGTCTTTAAGAAATGGAAGACTGATTAGTGCTATTTACAACCATGTCCTGTGTCTGTTACTAATGACAATATGAATTTCATATATTCTACTGTTTATTGTTATCTGTATATGCCTTCAATAAACTATCCATGCTATATATATTTGTTAGTGTCTTGTCTATATATCTCCTTAAATGGATACCTGTTTGGACACGTTCAGCTCACAAGAAACACTAGAAACCTTTTCCTAAAATCATACGAAGCATCAGATAGAATATGTCAACAACATGTATTTATTAAACACTATGAAATAGTGTTGATACCAAGTATTCACGAAAAGATCAGTATATTTAGCTCTCACTAGTCCCAAACACAAACAAGTCGACTTTTTACCCCGAGATACTCTCAGATCAAGCAGCTTGTGAGAAATAGCATTATGATAGGTCGTCTTTCTTGCAATCATGATAGAAAGAACATGCTGGAATGTTCCTCAAAGTCGTAAACTGAGGACAACAACGGCTGAAGCTCTTGGAAAGTTACACACACACACACACAACACACACACACACACACACACACACACACACACACACACACACACAAAGTTGACAATTGAAGTCATCCCTTTGTCATAAGGTCTCTTTCACAGTTCTTGTCACACTTAATCTTTATGCTCAGATGTAGATATGAATTACATGAGGTGGTTTCACTGGTCTCTACTTTTACAAACTCATTTAGGTAAATCGGCGGAGAGGAACTGGTTTAACAACTATTGAAATCATATAAGATTATCGCTACACATGAAGCTGACGTTACACTTCTCGTCCAAATCGCCATGCGAGAGCAACGCATTTGGTTTCTGCAAGAATATGCTGCATAAGGACTGAAGAGTAGAACAAGACTATCCCACGTGACTAATTGACGAATATGAAAATGTATGTGTACAAATTATAGACATTTGTTTGTATAATAAAAGTGAATGTGAAGAATTTAGATTCGTGTCCAAATAACATGTTACTAGTATCTATTTGGGCTATAGCATATACACACATGTGATCTTTTTTACTCCGGAATTGGAAAGGTTGTGGTATGTTTTTAATGACAAAGCTTACAGTGATCTCGATATTCACTCCATACATACATGTACTTTGATTAATCCTATACGATAAACAGCTTTACTGACGTTTATTTACGTAGCTCAAAATTAATAATACGAGCTCCTTCGCGTGCAGTGATACCTCTTTATATCTTAGCCATTTTCTGCCTAGCTCAGAAAACGTATATCTGTATTCATGCTATAACCTGAGTGTACAGTAATGAGCGTGCCTGTCTGGAGGTGTTATTTCAGCACTTATACATAGGATGTCATTGATTTATTGGTTTTTCGGGATCACTGACGACATGTCACAAATGGCCAACGATCAGAAAAGAAACAATATCATATTGATGCAGTATTGCTGATCATTGTATTCTTGAAAAGATACGTACCACCACCTCCAGCCAGAGACGTTGTTCACTCCACAAACATATCCGATTTATTACTTCATTGAGGTTTTCTGAGTTAAATACTACAAGGTGTAACCCAATGCTTAGAAAGCCTAGTTTGAATATGTCCACATCAAAGAACCAGCATTCCCCTCGATGTTCATATGACGTCTTGCTGAACACTTCAGAAGCATCCAAATGCACATATTAATTTGCACTTTCATTGTCGCATTTTCAAAAGCATTTCACGTCTACTTGTGTTGCCAAAAATCAAAAGACAAGCAATGAACACGTCACGTCTACCTACACATAAAAACGGTGCTGATAATGTTCTTTTACATCGCAAGAAAAACAGCTGATGAACTTCTAAGGAACCGAGGTTATTGGACAGGATCTGTTTGTCTGGCTTCCGTCCACCGCCACCTTATCCCTTTATTCAAGGAAAACAACCCATTCATGTGTGTGTATCCAATCAGGTGTGTTTGCTCAGCAACTCTGAACCAGACAAGTACATGATCTTCAACCTTATATTAGGCGTTTGTTTTCACAAGACTTACTCTAATTAGACAGATGCTAATAATTAGCAAACACATATGGCTGTTGGACCAGACATTAGGGATAGATGCTGTAAAGACATAGACAAATACATGAAAGAGAAAACAACAACAACATCCTATTCAAAAATTCTCCTCCGAGATAATGTAATGTTTCCGAAAATAGTGTTTGGCATTCAGTTCGATAACTTGCAAACAACTTGATAACATCTGAGGTCATATCATGACCAATGAAGGTATGAGTGTAAAGGACACCTTGCATATTGGCGGGAACTGGCATTGTGCATACATGCACATATTTTACAAAAAAAATCACCTGAACACTTTTATAAAATTGTTCACCTTCAGGGAGATAATATATAATTTATTACAATTTTCTTAATCGTTTTTTTCAAAACATCGTACATCTATACTACAAATAATACAGGAATCATTGCTAGAGGCTGACGAAAGAAATTCTTGCAGAGTGAAAATCGGTAAGTGTGAGCATTCATTCAAGTTGATATCTACATGTAACTGTCTGTGAAATAGTCTAGTAGGATAAAAAACAACGTCTCCGCTTTCCACTCAAATAAACCACAGCACAGGGGTTAAAGTGATGTAATTTTAACAATGAAACTCATTTCGTGTCTCTTCCATCTGTATTGTTTCACACAGTCTCAATTATCCAGAAACACTAATCCCTTCATTTGATTAATCCAATCCGACGTATTTGCTTAACCACTCAGAATTAGACAACGAGGAACACAAGAAAACATACTGGCAGTGGTGCTATATGTGACTGGTCAAGCGTTGAGATCCAAACAAATACTCTAATTAGACAGCTACTGATCATTGTCTGTCGGTCACAAACGAGACAGCTCAAGACGATCATCTCAGACTTTGACACCAGTGAGAGCATGTGATACTTCCCTAATTAGAGGTTAAGTCTTCTGATTGGTCGTGAATATCTTTATATTAAAATGTCCACAATGTACTAACAGCAAACGTGTTGCAGATTTGGAACGATAAACAAGCTTAAACATGAAGGGAGGAAACAAAAATATGAAGAACCTGGATGAGAAATTTGTGTTCTGTGCAGTTATGGGAGATAGTATGGTAGGAAAGACCAGCATCTCCGAGACCTATTCTAAGGGATTCTTTAATGAGAATTCTGAAACCACAGTATTTGACAACTATGTCGTTCCACTGCAAGTCGCTGGAGAGGAGTTTGTCATCAGTATGTTCGACACTGCAGGAAAGGTATGTTTACTCAGATGGTCGCTTAAATTCCGCGTTAACAATGAGAACAGAACCAGTTACTATGTAAAAGGAATATAGGATTAAATATTTCACATTCTGAATTTACAGGAATGGTTCCTATCAATATATTTCAAAGCATCTACGTTTTTCTTCTTTCAATATGTACACATTGTACTGACCGTCCCTTCTAATTGTTTTCAGAAACGTTTTGAGAGTCTGAGAATGTTCTCCTACCAGGAATGTGAAGTCCTGCTTCTGTGTTTCTCCACCTGTGACCGGAAGACATTTCACACTGTCAGTGACCTGTGGATGCCAGAACTGAAGAGACACTCCAAACAAACCAAACAGAAGAGACCGGTCATCCTTGTTGGCACCAAGATAGACCTCCGGGTCGGCAATCAAGACAGCGAGGTCAGCACTGACGAGGGTGTCCAACTGGCCAAGGACATTGGTGCTGACTGTTATGTGGAGTGCTCGGCCCGCGACCACAAGGGTTTGAAGGAGGTCTTTCAGCATATTGTCTTCTCCGCTCTCAAATTCAGGAAAAAGAAAACCAACATTTTCAAGAAGCTGTTCAGACGCAGAAGTGCCTCTTTTGCCAATTATTAAATTCAACACACTGTTATTTGATGAAAGAAAGAAATACACTGCAAGTTATCTGAATGGGTGTATGAATGTTGGTGCTACGCCAATGAAACTGAATGTAACATCGTTGGTTGATCTTCAAAGAGGTTTATCCCTGATTGCACACTTGGGTTGGATTGAGATAATGGATGTCACCCAATTGAGCAAAGCAGGTGCAGACGAAAAAATTGGTGATGTGCTACTTTATTTATACGTGATATTATAACAAGGTCTTTAAGAAATGGAAGACTGATTAGTGCTATTTACAACCCTTGTCTTATGTCTGTTACTATGACAATATGAATTTCATATATTCTACTTTTTATTGTTATCTGTATATGCCTTCAATAAACTATCCATGTTATATATATTTGTTAGTGTCTTGTCTATATATCTCTTAAATGGATACCTTTTTGGACACGTTCAGCTCACAAGAAACACTAGAAACCTTTTCCTAAAATCATACGAAGCATCAGATCAAAAAACATGATCCGTTGCACAATATGTCAACAACATGTATTTATTAAACACTATGAAATAGTGTTGATGCCAGGTATTCACGAAAAGATCAGTATATTTTGCTCTCACCAGTACCAAACACAAAAAGTCGAGTTTTTACCTCGAGAAACTCTCACATCAAGCAGCTTGTGAGAAATAGCATTATGATGGGTCGTATTTCTGGCAATCATGATAGAAAGAACTTGCTGGAATGTTCCTCAAAGTCGTGAAATGAGGACAACAACGGCTGAAGCTCTTGGAATGTTACACAAAAAACGAAAGTTGACATCTGAACTTATCTCTCTTGTAGGATGGACCTGTCTACAGTTCTGTCACACTTACTCCTTTTGCTCAGATTTAAATATGAATTCTCACTGGTCACTACATTTGCAAGCTGAGGTAGATAAATCAGTGTCAATAGGAATTGACAGTTTGACAATTATTGAAATCAAATCACATTATCGATATATACGCATGAAGCTTAAGTTAAACTTCTTGTCCAAATTTCCATGCCAAACAACGTACAAGTATTTGGTTTCTGACAAGATTATGTTGTACTAGGACTGAACAGCGAAACATGAATGTTTCAAGTGACTGCTTTACGAATATGAAAATGTAGATGCACACAATATTGACTTGTTTGTACAATAAAAGTGAGTGTGAAGAGACTACATTTACCTGTTATGTACTTCGACTGTAAAATAGATACCCATGTGGTCTCTTTTAATCCGGAATTGGAAAGGTGTTGCTATTGTTTCAATGACAAAGTTTACACTGATCTTGATATTCACTCCGTATACACTTTGATTAATGCTATACGAGAAACAGCTTTACTGACATTTATTAACGTAGCCAAAAATGAATAATACAAGTTCCTTCACGTGCGGCGACATGTCTTGATATCTTAACTACTTTCTGCCTTTCGAAACGTCCCAGTTACATGTTTCCTTCCAACTCAGAAATTAATGGAGTTTAATTCCTACTCTGAAATTAACAGTAAATTAACAATACTGTGACAACGTTTGCCTGGATTGATTGTGTGACTCCTTGTATACGTGTCGAACACCGAAGTTCGGGAAACACGTATCTGTATTCATGCTGTAATCTGAGTGTACAGTAATGAGGGTGACTGTCTGGAGGTGTTATTTCACCACTTATACATAAGCTGTCACTCATCTTGTGGGTTTTCCGGATCACTGACGACGTATCACACATGGCTGAAACGGACATACATGTTGTTCATCCAAACGATCCGATAAGAAAACATTGTTATATTGATACTGCATTGCTAATCCTTTTATTTGTGTTTATAATCTTACAACAGACAAGTACCACCATCTCCAGTAAGAGAAGTTGTTTGTTCAACAATAATGTCTGATTTGTTACTTCACTGATGACCCGTGAAGATCCGGGTTAGAATTGATCTTCAGTAACCCATGCTTGTCATAGGAGGCGACTAACGGGATCGAGTGGTCCGATTCGCTGACTTGGCCGACACATGTCGTATCCCAATTGCGTAGATCGATGCTCATGCTGGTGATCACTGGATTGTCTGGTGCAGACTCGATTATTTACAGACCGCCACGACATAGCTGGAATATTGCTGAGTGCGACGCAAAACTAAACTCACTCACTCACTTCATTGATAGTTTCTGACTTAAATAGTACAAGGTGTAACCCAATGCTTAGAAAGCCCAGTTTGATGGCGTCAACATCAAGAACCAACATTTCACTTGGATGTTCATATGACATTTAGCCAAACACCTCAGAAGCATCCAAATGCACACATTGCATTGTCTCATTTTTAAAAGCATTTCTCGTCTTCCTGTTTTACCAACTTCCAAAAGTCAAGCAATGACTTTAATAAACATGTCACATCTACCTACACATACTGATAATGTTCTTTTACAACACAGAAACCAACTCAAGCCCCTCGAAGTAACCAAGGTTTTGTTGGACAAGTTCTGTTCGTCTGTCTTCCATCCAACGCCGCCTTATCTTTATTTTCAAGGAAAACAACCACATTCATTTGTATGAATCCAATCAGCCGTGTTTGCTTAGCCCCTCTGAAGCAGACAAATACAGAATTAGACGTATATTTCACAGAATTCCTCTAATTTGAAAGATACTAATAATTAGTAAACGCATCTGCATATATTGAACCAGACGCTGGAAATATATGCTGTTTAGACTGGGACAAAAGCATAAATTAAACGAAAAACAAGCAAAGATCTCCCAAACAAATATATGTTTGGGAAAGAAAAAACTGAAAACATTCTCACCCCTGACTATGTAATATTTCCTGAAATACTTTAGTGCTGTGGTAAACAATATAACAAACAGGTGATGGTAACATCTGACAGGTAACGTCAGACATTCATAAAACACCGTACATCAAATCAAAAACAAACACATGAGGCAGTCAAATTGCAAAACTTAATCATGTATGAGGGAGCAAAATTGCTAACACTTTCCATTCAAATAAACTGTTGGAGTTGAATTTGCAGTGATGTTATTTTAATACTGAAACTCATTTCGTGTCTCTTCCATCTGTATTGTTTCACACAGTTACCAATTATCCAGAGAGACTAATCCCTACATTTGATTAATCCAATCCGACGTATTTGCTTAACCACTCAGAATTATACAACGAAGTAACACAAGAAAACATATTGGCAGTAGTGTTATGTGTGACTGGTCAAGCGTTCAGAGAAACAAATACTCTAATTAGACAGCTACTGATCATTGTCTGTCGATCACGAACGAGACAGCTCAAGACGATCATCTCAGACTTTGACACTGATACTTCCCTAATTAGAGGTTAAGTCTTCTGATTGGTCGGGAATATCTTTATATTAAAATCTTCACAAGGTACTAACAGCAAACGTGTTGTAGATTTAGATCGATAAACAAGCTTAAACATGAAGGAAGGAAACAAAAATATGAAGAACCTGGATGAGAAATTTGTGTTCTGTGCAGTCATGGGAGATAGTATGGTAGGAAAGACCAGCATCTCCGAGACCTATTCTAAGGGATTCTTTAATGAGAATTCTGAAACCACAGTATTTGACAACTATGTCGTTCCACTGCAAGTCGCTGGAGAGGAGTTTATCATCAGTATGTTCGACACTGCAGGAAAGGTATGTTTACTCAGATGTTCACTTAAATTTGCGTTAACATTGAGAACAGATCCATTTACTATGTAAAAGGAATATAGGATTAAATATTTCACATTCTGAATTTACAGGAATGGTTCCTATCAATATATTTCAAGGCATCTATGATTTTCTTCTTTCAATATGTACACATTGTACTGACCGTCCCTTCTAATTGTTTTCAGAAACGTTTGAGAGTCTGAGAATGTTCTCCTACCAGGAATGTGAAGTCCTGCTTCTGTGTTTCTCCACCTGTGACCGGAAGACATTTCACACTGTCAGTGACCTGTGGATGCCAGAACTGAAGAGACACTCCAAACAAACCAAACAGAAAAGACCGATCATCCTCGTTGGCACCAGGATAGACCTCCGAGTAGGGAATGAAGACAGCGTGGTCAGCTCAGACGAGGGTGTCCAACTGGCCAAGGACATTGGTGCTGACTGTTATGTGGAGTGCTCGGCCCGCGACCACAAGGGTTTGAAGGAGGTCTTTCAGCATGTTGTCTTCTCCGCTCTCAAATTCAGGAAAAAGAAAACCAACATTCTCAAGAAGATGTTCAGACGCAGAAGTGCCTCTTTTGCCAATTATTAAATTCAACACACTGTTATTTGATGAAAGAAAGAAATACACTGCAAGTTATCTGAATGGGTGTATGAATGATGGTGCTACGCCAATGAAACTGAATGTAACATCGTTGGTTGATCTTCGAAAAGGTTTATCCCTGATTGCACACTTAGGGTGGATTGAGAAAATGGATGTCACCCAATTGAGCAAAGCAAGAGCAGACGAAAGACATTGGTGATGTGCTACTTTATTTATACGTGATATTATAACAAGGTCTTTAAGAAATGGAAGACTGATTAGTGCTATTTACAACCATGTCCTGTGTCTGTTACTAATGACAATATGAATTTCATATATTGTACTGTTTATTGTTATCTGTATATGCCTTCAATAAACTATCCATACTATATATATTTGTTAGTGTCTTGTCTATATATCTCCTTAAATGGATACCTGTTTGGACACGTTCAGCTCACAAGAAACACTATAAACCTTTTCCTAAAATCATACGAAGCATCAGATAGAATATGTCAACAACATGTATTTGTTAAACACTATGAAATAGTGTTGATACCAAGTATTCACGAAAAGATCAGTATATTTTGCTCTCACTAGTCCCAAACACAAACAAGTCGACTTTTTACCCCGAGATACTCTCAGATCAAGCAGCTTGTGAGAAATAGCATTATGATAGGTCGTCTTTCTTGCAATCATGATAGAAAGAACTTGCTGGAATGTTCCTCAAAGTCGTTAACTGAGGACAACAACGGCTGAAGCTCTTGGAAAGTTACACACACACACAAAAAAAGTTGACAATTGAAGTCATCCCTTTGTCATAAGGTCTCTTTCACAGTTCTTGTCACACTTAATCTTTATGCTCAGATGTAGATATGAATTACATGAGGTGGTTTCACTGGTCTCTACTTTTACAAACTCATTTAGGTAAATCGGCGGAGAGGAACTGGTTTAACAACTATTGAAATCATATAAGATTATCGCTACACATGAAGCTGACGTTATACTTCTCGTCCAAATCGCCATGCGAGAGCAACGCATTTGGTTTCTGCAAGAATATGCTGCATAAGGACTGAAGAGTAGAACAAGACTATCCCACGTGACTAATTGACGAATATGAAAATGTATGTGTACAAATTATAGACATTTGTTTGTATAATAAAAGTGAATGTGAAGAATTTAGATTCGTGTCCAAATAACATGTTACTAGTATATATTTGGGCTATAGCATATACACACATGTGATCTTTTTTACTCAGGAATTGGAAAGGTTGTGGTATGTTTTTAATGACAAAGCTTACAGTGATCGCGATATTCACTCCATACATACATGTACTTTGATCGATTAATCCTATACGATAAACAGCTTTACTGACGTTTATTTACGTAGCTCAAAATTAATAATACGAGCTCCTTCGCGTGCGGTGATACCTCTTTATATCTTAGCCATTTTCTGCCTAGCTCAGAAAACGTATATCTGTATTCATGCTATAACCTGAGTGTACAGTAATGAGCGTGCCTGTCTGGAGGTGTTATTTCAGCACTTATACACAGGATGTCATTGATTTATTGGTTTTTCGGGATCACTGACGACATGTCACAAATGGCCAACGATCAGAAAAGAAACAATATCATATTGATGCAGTATTGCTGATCATTGTATTCTTGAAAAGATACGTACCACCACCTCCAGCCAGAGACGTTGTTCACTCCACAAACATATCCGATTTATTACTTCATTGAGGTTTTCTGAGTTAAATACTACAAGGTGTAACCCAATGCTTAGAAAGCCTAGTTTGAATATGTCCACATCAAAGAACCAGCATTCCCCTCGATGTTCATATGACGTCTTGCTGAACACTTCAGAAGCATCCAAATGCACATATTAATTTGCACTTTCATTGTCGCATTTTCAAAAGCATTTCACGTCTACTTGTGTTGCCAAAAATCAAAAGACAAGCAATGAACACGTCACGTCTACCTACACATAAAAACGGTGCTGATAATGTTCTTTTACATCGCAAGAAAAACAGCTGATGAACTTCTAAGGAACCGAGGTTATTGGACAGGATCTGTTTGTCTGGCTTCCGTCCACCGCCACCTTATCCCTTTATTCAAGGAAAACAACCCATTCATGTGTGTGTATCCAATCAGGTGTGTTTGCTCAGCAACTCTGAACCAGACAAGTACATGATCTTCAACCTTATATTAGGCGTTTGTTTTCACAAGACTTACTCTAATTAGACAGATGCTAATAATTAGCAAACACATATGGCTGTTGGACCAGACATTAGGGATAGATGCTGTAAAGACATAGACAAATACATGAAAGAGAAAAACAACAACAACATCCTATTCAAAAATTCTCCTCCGAGATAATGTAATGTTTCCGAAAATAGTGTTTGGCATTCAGTTCGATAACTTGCAAACAACTTGATAACATCTGAGGTATATCATGACCAATGAAGGTATGAGTGTAAAGGACACCTTGCATATTGGCGGGAACTGGCATTGTGCATACATGCACATATTTTACAAAAAAAATCACCTGAACACTTTTTTAAAATTGTTCACCTTCAGGGAGATAATATATAATTTATTACAATTTTCTTAATCGTTTTTTTCAAAACATCGTACATCTCTACTACAAATAATACAGGAATCATTGCTAGAGGCTGACGAAAGAAATTCTTGCAGAGTGAAAATCGGTAAGTGTGAGCATTCATTCAAGTTGATATCTACATCTAACTGTCTGTGAAATAGTCTAGTAGGATATAAAACAACGTCTCCGCTTTCCACTCAAATAAACCACAGCACAGGGGTTAAAGTGATGTAATTTTAACAATGAAACTCATTTCGTGTCTCTTCCATCTGTATTGTTTCACACAGTCTCAATTATCCAGAAACACTAATCCCTTCATTTGATTAATCCAATCCGACGTATTTGCTTAACCACTCAGAATTAGACAACGAGGAACACAAGAAAACATACTGGCAGTGGTGCTATATGTGACTGGTCAAGCGTTGAGATCCAAACAAATACTCTAATTAGACAGCTACTGATCATTGTCTGTCGGTCACAAACGAGACAGCTCAAGACGGTCATCTCAGACTTTGACGCCAGTGAGAGCACGTGATACTTCCCTAATTAGAGGTTAGTCTTCTGATTGGTCGTGAATATCTTTATATTAAAATGTCCACAATGTACTAACAGCAAACGTGTTGCAGATTTGGAACAATAAACAAGCTTAAACATGAAGGGAGGAAACAAAAATATGAAGACCCTGGATGAGAAATTTGTGTTCTGTGCAGTTATGGGAGATAGTATGGTAGGAAAGACCAGCATCTCCGAGACCTATTCTAAGGGATTCTTTAATGAGAATTCTGAAACCACAGTATTTGACAACTATGTCGTTCCACTGCAAGTCGCTGGAGAGGAGTTTGTCATCAGTATGTTCGACACTGCAGGAAAGGTATGTTTACTCAGATGGTCGCTTAAATTTCGAGTTAACATTGAGAACAGAACCAGTTACTATGTAAAAGGAATATAGGATTAAATATTTCACATTCTGAATTTACAGGAATGGTTCCTATCAATATATTTCAAGGCATCTACGTTTTTCTTCTTTCAATATGTACACATTGTACTGACCGTCCCTTCTAATTGTTTTCAGAAACGTTTTGAGAGTCTGAGAATGTTCTCCTACCAGGAATGTGAAGTCCTGCTTCTGTGTTTCTCCACCTGTGACCGGAAGACATTTCACACTGTCAGTGACCTGTGGATGCCAGAACTGAAGAGACACTCCAAACAAACCAAACAGAAGAGACCGGTCATCCTTGTTGGCACCAAGATAGACCTCCGGGTCGGCAATCAAGACAGCGAGGTCAGCACGGACGAGGGTGTCCAACTGGCCAAGGACATTGGTGCTGACTGTTATGTGGAGTGCTCGGCCCACGACCACAAGGGTTTGAAGGAGGTCTTTCAGCATGTTGTCTTCTCCGCTCTCAAATTCAGGAAAAAGAAAACCAACATTTTCAAGAAGATGTTCAGACGCAGAAGTGCCTCTTTTGCCAATTATTAAATTCAACACACTGTTATTTGATGAAAGAAAGAAATACACTGCAAGTTATCTGAATGGGTGTATGAATGTTGGTGCTACGCCAATGAAACTGAATGTAACATCGTTGGTTGATCTGCAAAGAGGTTTATCCCTGATTGTACACTTGGGTTGGATTGAGATAATGGATGTCACCCAATTGAGCAAAGCAGGTGCAGACGAAAGACATTGGTGATGTGCTACTTTATTTATACGTGATATTATAACAAGGTCTTTAAGAAATGGAAGACTGATTAGTGCTATTTACAACCTTGTCCTATGTCTGTTACTAATGACAATATGAATTTCATATATTCTACTTTTTATTGTTATCTGTATATGCCTTCAATAAACTATCCATGTTATATATATTTGTTAGTGTCTTGTCTATACATGTATATCTCTTAAATGGATACCTGTTTGGACACGTTCAGCTCACAAGAAACACTAGAAACCTTTTCCTAAAATCATACGAAGCATCAGATAAAAAACAGGATCCGTTGTACAATATGTCAACAACATGTATTTATTAAACACTATGAAATAGTGTTGATGCCAGGTATTCACGAAAAGATCAGTATATTTTGCTCTCACTAGTACCAAACACAAAAAGTCGAGTTTTTACATCGAGAAACTCTCACATCAAGCAGCTTGTGAGAAATAGCATTATGATGGGTCGTATTTCTGGCAATCATGATAGAAAGAACTTGCTCGAATGTTCCTCAAAGTCGTGAAATGAGGACAACAACGGCTGAAGCTCTTGGAATGTTACACAAAAAACGAAAGTTGACATCTGAACTTATCTCTCTTGTAGGATGGACCTGTCTACAGTTCTTGTCACACCTACTCGTTTTGCTCAGATTTAAATATGAATTCTCACTGGTAACTACTTTTGCAAGCTGAGGTAGATAAATC